TTACCAAATGGAATTGGCCGAACTACAGACTTGTGACTCACTGAAAGATGCATTCAAATCAAGCAGCCTTACTAATTTCTATGCATCTCTCCTCTCAGAGACATATCATAATCTCAGGAACCATGCACTCAAAATTGCAACCATCTTTGGCAGCACCTATGTCTGTGAGCAGACTTTTTCCTGAATGAAAAATCTGAAATCTCCAATCAGATCCAGACTAACTGATGAACACTTGCATCACTTGCTACAACTAGCAGTGACAAATATGGAACCTAACATTGACCATCTCATTTGCCAAAAGCAGGCCCATAGTTCGCATTGAAATATTTGTTTTTGTTGATTACAGCTGCTCTTCATTTTAAATATTGCATTTTTTCCCTGTTTTTTGTGCACTACTACAAATAAAATATGTGCAGTGTGCATAGGAATTCATTCATTTTTTTCCGAACTATAGTCTGGCACCCAACAGTGTCTGGGGGACAGTGAACTGGCCCCTTGTTTAAAAAGTTTGAGGAACCTCTGTTACATATGAATAGGTAGTAGTACCTCCAGGACACAAGTTGATGTCTGGAGAAAGCCACTCTTCTGGATAGTCCCTGTTCTGAGTAGTAGACAGTCATCAAACCTTTCTTGGTACTGTGGTGCAGGCACATAAGTAATATTAACTCCCCAAATGCTGAGTATTTCCACTTATTTTGATCCCCTTAGGATGTGATGCAGTGCAGCACCTCTAGAAAGTAGGCTGATAATTCTTGAACTAAATCCAGGTTGGCCTTTACGTGCTCTAGATTGTTACCTTCTGCCTGTCTTCTTCCAAATACACCTACTGAATGTGGCAAGTACATTTTTTCTGCAGATCATTAGTGTCCTTGTACACAAACGCAGGCCAGAGAAGGGTTGTAATTTATTAAGACTTAAATTGGGGCTGGCATTTCCCCACTGTAATCCCAGTGGCTCTATGCAGAATAAAAACGCAGTTTTCAGTGTCTCTTGTAAGTGTTGCTTTTTCTAGCAAATATAGGTGACAAATGCAGGGCTCTGAGCTCTCGATCTGCAGCAGCCCTTGCTGTCCCCATGCTGTTTATGTTCTCTCATCCTTCAGCAATGACTCTATCTCCTAAAGGCTGCAGGGCAGCATAATGGGCCCTGGATAATGCAGCACGGACCAACACTTCCCTTTAGGCAGACACCCCCACCTTACATACTATCTCTTCTTCCTCCTGCGAGATGTGTGGCCGCCTCCTCATCCCTCAAGAGTGAGGCTCCATTTGCTACTTCAAATATTCCCGGCCTCACCTCGTTCAGTGCTGGGTGTGTTGGTGGGTTTAATTTGGTCAGCTGTAGGCACAGGTTGTGCTTTAAGTGTGATGTGACTGATAATCCTAGGTACTTCAGCACTTCAGGAACCACTTTGAAGTCTTGTTCTGGAAAGCATACTCTAAATATCCTCTTAGCAGTGCTTGTATCACTAATTCCTTCATTTTTTTTTTAATTAGAATAAAGATCTGCAGTCTGCCGTGTTGAATAAATTCCATCTTTTGTGACTTTTAATCCCACCTATTTGGTACAGTGACAATTGGTGTTTGGCTTTAGCTCGTGTAGTAATTCACTTTCCCCCCTTCTCTTTGGGTGCTTATTTTATCTTTGTTTCAGTCTGATTTTAGTCTTATTGAGAGTAACACCAACCTTTTTAACCCTGCATCAGGTTGTGTGCCTTAGAAACGCTAAAATTGAAGGGCTGTTGAAAAGAACAGCTTTATAGCGTGTATGCACAGAACAAACAGTGAAGAAAAGACAGCACCTTTAGCAAATCAAATTCCTACATACAGAATCCTCCTGAGACTATTCTGGAGGAATCCTTGCTTAGCTGAGGATTTGGATTTAGAGTTCATCATAGCAAACTGCGCTCCTCCTACTAGTTCTAATACCATAATAGCTGGAATGTGCTAGAGTTTTGCTTGGCCTGACACTTGCTGTGGGTTCCCTTGATAACAGGGTCTGTCCCTATTATTACCGGGGAAGCAGTATAAATAACTGGACCTGCTATTTATATGGCGTAAATGGGATATACCTGCACTGCTTTGTAGTGATGGGGAAATGATGCCCGGAGCGACAGTAGCAGTAGTTCTGCTTACAGAAATATTAGACATCCAGCAGCAGTGCTGCAGAGCCACAGTATGCGTCTGATTGCGCTGCATGTCCTTCTTGCTGCAGGTGTTCGGTCAGTGAGCTTCTACGAGCACATCATCACGGTGGGGACGGGACAGGGCTCCTTGCTGTTCTACGATATCAGAGCCCAGCGGTTCCTGGATGAGAAGCCCCCGCGTGCCAGCTACGGGCAGAAGCAGAAGCTCGGGGGAAGTGAGATTCTCAAGCTGACCACGGGGAAAGGCTGGCTGGTGAGTAGCACGGAGCCGCAGGAGGCTTTTAAAGTCCAAGGGGGCTGCGGGCCTTGAGCACCAGCCCATTTTACAGTAATGGGAGCTAGTGTGTGAAATGAGTCCCAGTAAAGCAGTTGTGTGGCCGACTGATACCTCTAATGAGGAAAAACTCATGAGGAAGAACTTCAGTAGAAATGTTTTCTGCAAAAGCTGTGTGCAAGTGTGCTGAATGTGACCATAGGCATGAAGGCTACTTGTCCCATGCACTGGTTTATACACGGACTAAGTAGCATCTTTATACCTTCTGAATGTAATCTGACTTCTAGCTTTTGATACCTCATATACAAATACATTATTTTTTTCAAAAAAGAGGTGCAAAACTAACATGGTCATCAGGGGAAAGGAGATAATTGTGTACAGTTTAAGAAATTTTAGCTGCTTGAAATAGTGCTGTGGCATCCACTTGAATCCTGTATCTTATCTTAAAGCAGTAAGTGGCTTTGTCCAACTTATCTCCCTTTTTTATCATTGTGATATAGCTTTTAAAACTAATGAAATTTGATACCTTTTCCTTCTTCACTTTGGCCAAAATAATTGGCATAAAATTGCTTAGATAAAGCTTTGGGAAGTGCCTGATATCTTCTGGTTGAAACTGTTGTCTGAAGCTTCAGAATATATTGATAGAGAAGAATTCTTAGGCTTTGTAAAGTATCTTCCAAAGTATCTATTTAGAAACTTTGGAATGTATCAATCCAAAATGATTTTTTTTTCAGTTTTGTTTGGGCTTTGTGGCAACAATAATGATCTGAACTTTTCTTTAACAGAATCATGATGAAACCTGGAGGAATTATTTTTCTGACATTAATTTCTTCCCAAATGCTGTTTACCCCCACTGCTACGACTCGTCTGGAACGAAACTTTTTGTGGCAGGAGGCCCCCTTCCATCCGGACTTCATGGGAATTATGCTGGTCTCTGGAGCTAATAACTCTTTACAAATGCTGATGTTACACAGATTTCCACTTTTCCTTTTGTAACAAAGAAATTGTGTGATGCCATTGATTTCTGATTTAAATGCAAGTTACTTTTTGGCAGAGTTTTCTGTTGGTCTCCAACAGTTTTGTACATCTTTTTGAACCAGTTTTTTGCTTTTACCTCCTTGATCCTTTGTATGAAGGGTTTTTGAAATCCCTTTTTATTGTATTTACTCCAAATGACTCTTCCCCCACATTTAGGCTATCTTGGCCATATACCCCCTCCCCTACTTTGCTGTGAGGAAGGATTCCTTTCTTATAGAGTGGTAGCTCCTGGGCTTTCTGTGAAAGTCGAAGGGCTGTGTGTGTGCAGGTACTTTGTCAGTTACATTACCTGGAGAGAGGACTACTTGTAATTAAAAAAAAATATTAAAAATATTTATAAGAGATAAGCTACTACTTTATCTGCAGAGCCTGGCCCAGGCCTCAGTTGATCTTATTTTTTAAAAGTACAAGTCTAATGATACTGTTTATATGTAGAGGAATGCAGTAAATTTCAGGTGTACTCATTGGACCCCAGGGACAGATTTCCCAGGGGATTTTCCCATCAAGCCCAACCTGCAGAAGTGAATCTCAACAACATATTTGTATTTGAATTCTAGTTTTTAGCTGTGCCCGGAGCAAAACTTGTTCAAAACCTTGATGTTTTCTACCTATCCCAGGTATTGTTGTGTACAACTGGAGTGTCAGGGTAGGCAGTTCTGCAGCAGAGGGGGATTGTAGGGCAACATCACATGAAAACGGAGGGTTGAGGCTCTCAGAGGTGTGGTGGGGAAACGGGTAGCAAGGGGCCATGAGTGTCTTGTCAGTAAGCGAACCCACGGTGACCATTTTGCAGATGAGCTAAAGTTCCTGAGTACATGGCTGTGTTCTGGTTCCTCATAGTGTGTTTGAAATCCAGGATTTTTGTTTTTCTTGCAGGTAGAGGAAGCTTTCTCAACCCCACTTTGGCCGTTTTGTCTGTTTAAGAGAGTTTTTATCCAGTGTCTCTAACAAAGCAGTAGAAAAAGAAATTGTTTTTCCCTAAGGTTGAAAAGTGTCTCAGCTTTCCCAGCATAGGCTAGAAGCTTTCTGTGTAGCGAGGTAACTTTTAGTTAGCTCATGTTCACATTAGCATCTGTTGCCATCCTGCTTGCTATGAGAGATAGACAGCCTTTCCCAAGAGCTCCCTGCCTTCATTCTGCATTCAAACTCCTTAGAGCCTCACCTGGGATTGCGGGTGGGCAGGATAGGTGTGTGTGCCCTCCTGCGAGAAGAGGATCATCTTATCTAACACTCAGCTACATCACAAGGCTCCAAGGTGCTCTTCTAGTGGGCTACTCTGGGCTTTATGATGCTTCCATCCTCTGCTGGGACAAATACCCTGCTGACCCTACTGCTGGCAGAGCAGAGAAGGTGCTTATACCTTGGCTGCTTTGGTGCCAAACTGGCAGTTTGCTGAAGGTGAGAAAAAGGGCGAATGGGGAGATGAGCTCTGTTCTCGTGTTGCAGCTATCTGAGGGTCCAGCTGCCATGGGAGAGTAGCACAAGTCCCTTGAGCAGCTTCCACCCGTGTCCTTAAAGGCCCCCTTGTCTCTGTACTTGGAGTGGAATGCCAAGCAGAGCCAAAGCTCTGGCTGCTTTTCTGCTTGGTAGTGCAGTTGAGACGTGGATGGAAATCCTGTAAGGAATGCAGTGTTCTCAAATCTGTGTGGGAATCAGGGCAAGCAGAGAGATATGCGCCTGCTCCAGAAATATAATTTACTTAAGCTGAGCCTTGACATTGGTGCTCGACAGAGATTTTTGCCGCGTTTTGTCATTCTACGTCCTTCTGGGTTGGCTGCTTAAGCTGAATGGGCTCACAGTGCTGTGTGCTTGTCTACCCGGGCTTTTCCTCAGAAAAGTGACTGTTAACCGCAGTGCGGTGAATGAGCTCTTCCCAATTCTATTTAGAGTTGTTCGTTCATTTTAAATAACATCATAATGCCATTTATGTTGTTCTGTGACTGCATTGTATCGCTTTGGTTGTTTTAGAGGTTTTGAAGAGGGGAAAGGCAGAGAAAAACACATTTTCAGCTATTGCAGGATGTGTTTTTTCTGGGTTAACTCCTTCAGCTGCTGTGTAAGATCGCTTCTGTTGCAAGAAACATTCTGCTTGGCTCTTATTTGGGCTTGATTTGTGAGGTTATTTTTCTTCTTGAGAAAGTGGACACTTGAGTCTGCTTCAGCCTCCTTCAGTTCTTCAGAAACAGCAGCTAATAATTAGATACTTCATGTCACAGGAAACTCCTGGTCTGGAAATCGTAGCCCTGTTGTTGATTTATTAAACTGAAACATTTCGGGTCTGGGCAGGGAGGCAAAGAGGGGTTCATATGGCCTGGACTTCAGCACCCAGATTTGGAGACTGATGAGCTGAGGCTGCAGACGACAGCTCAGCCAGTCTGGAAAGTATCTCTGACTGTGATACTGATCTCCCCAAGGTACCTTAATTTGTGGTCCTAAAGTCTGCTGATTTGAATGCTCTTTTCTTCATTTTCTTGTTATTTACGCCTTCCCCTCCACTTAGGGCAGTTCTCAATCTGGACAACATAAAATCCCTTTGAGTTTCACAGGCTTCTGCATGTTCTGCTTTCAGAGTATCCTTTTCCCCCTCCAAAATAACTTCTCACATGGAAGGAGCCATCCTTGGTCCATTGTGGAAAAGCCCATAAAAACTAGAGGCAAGCTACTTAGAGCTGCCAAGCAGGCAAATGAATCTGAGGCAGAGAGAACTTCACTTCCATATTGTTTCAATGATTTTTAAATGTTATGTTTAAGAATATTTTGTGTTGGATGTCCTTTTAAGGTAGACACGTGAGCCCGTCAGCTGAAGTCATAAGTCATTGTGAATCCATTAACTGGTGAGGCAGAGAAAGGACGTGGTCTGCCGTCTTCTGGTGTGAACTGTAGGAGAAATGGAAGAAGAAACCAGACTTTCTCACTTGATGCAGCTGTGCTGCCCCACTGATCTAGGTGTCAGAACTACTATCTAGTGACCCTAGATAGTAGTTCTAGGTGAGAAAGGCAGGGTTTCCAGATGAAGTGGGGTGAGACAGTTCAAGGAGCCCCTGAGCTCTGTGGAGAGGTGGTAGGTAGGCAGACCGCTCTCAAACAGCACGTCTGCCCTGGCAATGGGTGAATTTAGTCTGACTACACCTGAGTAGCTTAAACAGCTCACTGCGCACGCGGTGCTGAGACTCAGTGAAGGGTTGAGTTTTCAGACTGTCGTAATTTTTACAGTGTTTCTTAAAGATTTATTTCCCTCGGTCTTTCCTACCCTCCTTAAATGATCTCTTTATGGTGCCTTTATCCTCCCAAATCATCCCAGTCTTTCTTGCAGCAATATTGTACTTACAATAGTGACCTCTTTCCAACAGAAATGGACCTCCTGGCATTTTGACAAGCCATGTTTGAGACCTTCAGTTTGTTTTTTTTTTTTTTTTTTAAAAAAAAAAAAAGGCAAGCCTTTGAGGCTGGCTAAAGTTAGAACTGGGCAGCTAGCATTTTGCATGCTAGCTGACTGATGGGATTGGGAGGGAGGGAGACCTTTAATCTCAGTAGAAGACTGTCAAGCTTTTTTTTTTTGCTTGCTATTTGACTAAGTAATGCAGGATCTTAGGTGCAGCAGCTGCGCCTAGCAAGCAGTTAACTTTTACATCTCAGTTCTTTTCACTAGACTATCATATTAATTTGGGGTTCTTTTGGTGTATCTGGATGCTGCACTTTCAATATTCATAACCACATGCAGTCAAGTTAGTAACTTAGGAGTTCAGTAGTACCCAGCTCATGAGTTACTGGGTAGCAGCCCCTCAGTAGATACCAGGTATTGTGTCATGGACATTGCTGAGCAAGTGAGAGCTGCTTTGCCGAGTCAGCCTGAGCAGTGAGAGTTGCTCAGACCTTCTTTCCTTGAACACCTTATTCCCTGGATTCCTCCAGCCTTTCTCCTTGTACAGTAATGTCAGCCAAGGAGAGTCACTGCTGCTCTAACCAAGGTGCTCTCTGGAGTTGTTTTAAGGAAGTGAGCGAACTTCTGTTTTGTTCCCCCATCAGTCTGCTGGGATTAGTGCCCAAGGTGAAAATTATGAAAGAGTAGTAAATAGATGCTTGTTCCTTGTTTCAGCTGTTTTTATTTTTCTTCGTAGATCCACTTGAAGGCGCATTGCAGGAGTGCCCAGGGATTTTTACTGCTTTTGGTCTGTCCATACAGGTTGCGCTTACATTATGGGTGAGAATTCTGCCTTAAGGAGGGAGGCCCCTGAACTTCAGTATGGAGCAATGTTTGCCACCTCTGTGTGAAATTTTTGGCAGTTTTCATATCTTAAAGATGAAGAAACTCATGTATCAATTCCTTTTCTCTAAAACTTCATCGTCTTCCGTCATCTGAGCACTTGCTTTGTACAAAGCTCATAGCTGCGGAGACCAAGATTAAAGTTATGATCTGGCTAGGTCAAGTGGTGGAGCTTGGTGTCTTTAATTTCTGTTGCTCAGCTGAGAAGCACTAGCGACCTTGTTAATGGATGTCTCTCACTCAGTGCAAACATGAAATAAAGCAGGTTTGGTTAGACTGTTTGTGGAAGCATCCATTTTATTTGCAAGAAACCAAGAGCAGATGGGTGGTCCGGTACTGGGTCTCCACAAAGAAGCAGCATCTTCCAGCAGCAAGGTGGGAACTTGAAGGTATCTGTGGTAGTCTGATACCATTAATTTCCTTTAAACTCATTTTTCCATGTTTTTGACTCTTATGACTATCATCACTGCTGTGACTAAATTACTGAAATAAGTAGAGCTAACAGCAGGAGGGCTGATGAAGGGCCGTGTGAAATGCAGACCTGACCTGCCAATCTGCCTGGCCCATGCTGAACCCTGGAGGACTGTGATGGCCATACACAAGCTCTCTAGTTTCACGGCAGGTGAGAATACAGCAGTGTGCACAGCCCTTTGTGGGACCTCAACTCCAAGTGCAATTGTCAGAGTGCACAGTCCTCAGGAACGTGAGTCTCTGAAGGACTAGCACCAAGAGTTGGGCTGTGCTGTAGGTGTGGGGAGTGGAAAGGAGAACACAGCTGCCTCCTGCGGGAAGGGTTCTCCTGCCTGTGGTCTCCCTGGGCTCTACAGGTGGGCACTTCAGTGGGAAGGTTAGACAAGAGGGTACAAGGAAAGAGAAAGGCCCAACAAAAGGGGTTGGGTTCTTCCTGGGACACCTGAGTTCATGCAGAGCAGGATGCCTCATCACTGCTCAGGAGGTATTTTGTAAAAGGACTGAATGTGAAATCTGCCTTCAGAGAGACCACAGAAATGGCCCTTTCGTTCTTGTTTTCCCATGTGTAATTTCAAGAACTTAAATTAGGAAGCATTCTCTTTGCATGCAACACTGGGTTTCTTCATCAAAATAATCTGATACTTGGCTAATTAAAGGAATGCTCTTGATGGAAAGGAATCTTCCAGTTAAAAAT